ATAGTTCTGTGACGCTGTTTGTTATTCGATCATTTTCAATGTTTCCATCAGCAATTATCACATTAACAATCATTTCAAACATTTATAAACCTTATTAATGACTAGAATTGTATCGGTAGAACCCCTGATTAAGTCACTAAGGCAATAAGCCATTCGGACATCGGTCGTATCCGATCACTAATGGATCATCGCCCGAGGCTAAGCTTTCTGCGATCACAGTGTACCAACAGTCGTAAGCCTGAATGTGGTTAAATTCTCAATATTGTTGATAAAGATTTGTTATGGAATTGTTAGATCTTCAGTGAAACTCGGTGGACTGTCCGACCTCTAATCCTCCATGTCGTGCAAACTTCCGTGCAATCCATTCTCTATTATAGTACGTCGTATCATAATAATGTCCTGGATCTGCCAGTAATGTCGCGATGGTAAGTCGAGATTTTGATGGTTTTCTGTAAAAAATTTCTTCAACCAATGGGTCCGCATTTTTGCGCAGTATCCGTTTTGAGAGTGTTTACGGAGAATTTAAGTTGTCCTAGGTGGAGCTTCATCTGTTACTCGTTGTCTTAAGAATATTATTTTGATGAAATTTGTTGATAATAGGTGATAACTTTGCCCTTATCGATTAGTGGTGCCATGAAATGCCGGGATTCTTCGCAGTATGAATTAGGGGGCTTATGTTTGCGATGAAGGATGCAGCTCGCTATTTGTTAATTGGTGGCATGGCTGATAAGAGGATTTAGTTAGGCTTTAGAGGTTTTCACGGACAGATGCAGCACCTTTTTAGAAGGTTCTGTGAATGTTCAGCAAACTCTACGAACTCCAGACCCTTATAGCCAATAGTACCGTAACGCGGAGCGTGTATTGACGTCCAGGTATTTCAGCTATATGGTCCACACATTGTCGTGAGCCATCGTAACATATAGTCGCGGGGGTGGGGGGGGAGAGGTGAGAATACGCGTAAAACAACAACAACAAAACACCGCTGTCGCCCATCTTTGACCCCCTAAGCATAACACTGACCCTAACCCCCAACCAATACGTGACCCATCTCCCAGCCCAACCCTACGCTAGCACATGGCTATTTCGGGTTCGAATCAGGGTCAGGATTAGGTTTACAAAAGGTTAGGGGTAGCGCCAAAAGGTAGCTAGGAGGATTAGGTCACTCGGCGGAAAGGTGGTACCCGAAGAGTCCGCTTAGGTCCGCTTTTTCTGGGGTATTGCTTTTGCTACTTCAGTTGGCTAAGCGCGATTTGAAGTCGCGCGAATCGCGAATTACTGTCTAGTGAAATTGATGCTAGAGCCTCAATCCATAATTCCGACGCCTACCTACCAATTTCACTGTTGTGTTGTCTCCTCATGTCAAGAATGCTAGAGAAATTTCATGGACCGTGCCTCAAAGGCTAATGCCGTCGCAAAAAATCGGCAGGTTTCATTATAACGTGGTGGTGCTCAATGGTACACCAGTGGCGAAAAACTGGGGAAAAACTCCGTCAAGAAAATGCACAACGGCGCCACCTTTTTTGGGCGTTGGTTTTCAATCATCAACAGGTAGCAGCCAGAAAGTGGATCTATAAACGAGTTCACCGCCACGCGTCGGGTGGCACCATTGCCAAATCACGCTTCAATCGACATGCTTCATTTGCGCGGCTGCTAGCCCCGCAGCTTTTCAAATCAACAAGTAAACTGGAGGGCGGATGGCGCCTTTTGGCGGGGCGATCGCTTTGGGGCGGAGCGCTTTCAAAGTCCCTGCTCAGTAACGCCAGCGCACCTTTCCACTGCAGCCAGTAACTGCTTCGTCTGGTGGCCATCATGCTTCGCCCGATCGCTCCCTCTCTACGTAACACTGCTTTTAACCCTCCGATTTGGTTGTGCACATACAGTACATCGTGGTGATAAATGTGTACAACAATGCTTCTAAGAAGTGAAATTTCTCGTGAAATTGAAAGAAAAATGTGGTATATCGGAACTATGTAGATTTTAGTAGATTTTTCAAATAGAGCATTAGAAATTATAAACTGAGGGTATTTAAATATGTTTACAAATCAAGACCGTCTCCGCTCACTTACACCGCTGTCGCCGCAATGTGCATCGATGTGAGCAGGTTCACCCCGCTGCTGGTACCGCCCGAAGCGCCCTGAAAATACTCAGAATTTACGATGGTGGAACAAGGAAGAGTAGTCGAACTCCTGTCAAAGGTGAGCCAAACGTCAAGGATGCCTCTGGGAAGGGTCGTCTCAGGGACTGGATGGTGTGGGAGGAATCGGCAGTTAATTTTAGTAAAGCTTGGTAAGGTAAGTCAGTTAGCGCCTATGATTTTTTTGAAAAAGGTGTAGAGTTTCTTGGCAACTTTCCGAAATTTTTAGAATTTCACTAATTCAAAGATTGGGCAGAAATTTTCAGAATTTCTTGAGTTTTTTTTTTAAATTACGACTTCAACGTGCGCTCCTTATTGTTCCCCGGACTTCACTAAGCGAAAGTGGGATACACATCCGGGTATGGACGAAAGATCTGTAAGTAACTGGATAGGGGCGTTGGTAGTTGAGCCCAGCCGGTCTGCCGAAGTCCCTTGACACAGGGCTTACCTTGGCTGAGATTGACAGAAAAAGTTCGTAAACTATGAACACCTCTTAATGTCTAACCTGCTCTCGAAGTATTCGCATAGCGGCAGTGGCTGCCACATCTGGTACTTTAACTACTCGATCAATGACGGCAGCATCCATACTGTAATGAGAACCTCATGGTGGTTCACGTAAGAGACAACTCATACGAGTTCTATTGTAAGATACTCTAGCTTTGGAATGGGCTCTTATAAGCAAACCCAACCCAGAATGCAAATAAGAAATAATTCTTACGACTTACCTTGTTGTCTCGCCTTTACGTGCCATTCCCATTGGTCCATAGCCGATACCGGCCATACCTGGTTCCACCCACAAACTGGCTCCCGATTCGTTCTTGAATCTGAAATCGCTCTCAAAAGCGATTTATTGAAAAACTTGCTCCAAAAGCTGTCCTCCATATTTACAGTCATTTCGACAAAAGCTTATCTACCCAAGGAAGGCTTTCAACTTCCCAAGGAACTTTAATTGGTGCTCTGGCCAATTTGACACAGTCAGGAGTGCTGCTTACATCTGTAGACCAAAATGTACGTAACATACGTAAGGATTCCATGCAAGTTGAGCGGCCAAAGTTGGCAGGATGCAGTGTTAGTATGTTGGTGTGACAAGCCATTTACCTGAATGCATTTTCCCTGAAACTTTGTCTCCAGATGTAAATTGGCAGTCTGTTCATCAGCATGGCATTCTTTTTGACATTAGGCGATAATTTGACTTTCCTTTTTGCTCCATTGCCAACTTTGACCGCGCACAACTTGCTTTGGAAAGATAACTTAAAGGAATCGTCCACGGGATACTGTATATTCTTTCCTCATATAAATGTGTTGTGCGTGGTCATAGAAAACCACCCCCAAAGTTCCGAGCGCAAAAAGAATGGATGCCCAGAGAGAAACAACCCCTAGGCAAAGCTCACTTACTGGACAGTATCTGCCACGATGGGCGGGACTGGAAGTGC